AATCCAGCCCTGGTAGGACAATAGGTTTCTCTTACATTGGGAGGGCTGAGGAAATTTTTTGCTGTCACTTCATAGCTTAAAATGTGGGTTTAGTGGCCAAGACTTTATTGGTATAATTCCTAACAAACTCACCAAATGAGCCCCAGATCAAGCAGGAGATGTTAAATACCCCCAATGGATAGGACATGAAGTGACAAGACAGAGATGCATCATTCAAAATCATCGGTTTTGAATTCTCCTTAGGATCTAGTTGCTTCTGCATTGAAGTAAAGATTGGGCATCTCCAAAGATGAGGAAGTTCCTAATGGTGGTGTTCAGCCATAAGTATCTGCTCTCTCCATCCCCATTTTAAAATCATCAGGGTATTTTGGAGGGTTAGAAACAAGTCAGAACTTCTGCAGCAGCTAAATAGTGGAAGGAAAGTCAGTGAAGGGAAGTGTTCTCAGGGATAGAGGGATTTTCCAAATGCCAAGAATTAAACTAGGCCAATTCACAGAGGATGACCTGACCTGCAAGGCAAGGTGTTCAGGGAATTAAACTGGGAGCTGGTGCCTCCCCTTGAGGCGGAGTTTGGCCAGGGGTTGTTGATTAGCAAAACATAGCTATGTTGACCGGGAACAGGAGCCCCCATTCTCATGTGGATAATTCAGAAGTCTGGCACTTCCTATGAAGCATGACAAGAAAAACCGATGTGAGATACCAAATGGTACAGCAAGGAGAGGAAAGATAATGAGGCAGGCGGTGAAACCACTGAGCTAAATCCCCCAGTCCCTGAAGGAAAAGATAGTGAAATATGAATGCAAAGAAAACTAGAGGACTAGGCAGAAACAGTGCACAAAGAAAGGGGAACAAGACACAGAAAGAAGGCAGCATCAGGAAGAGAAATAAGCGATGGCCAAAGGCAGAGAAGAAAACGACAGGTCAGACTGGGAGGCAGAAGCATGGAGAGGACAAGAAGACTCAGTCACCCAGCAGTCAGTCAGGAGGTGAGCTGCGCTCACTGGGGCTGTCGGTGTCTTCAGGGTCCCCACAGGGCTGGGTTCTAGCCCTGCAAGCGAACAGAACTGTCTAGCCCTACTCAAGCGGTGCTGAAAACTTGGGACTGGTCCAAGGCATCCATCCTTACCTCCTCTGGCTCTGCCTGGAGCCCCTGTGCTTCCATGGGTGAGGAGTGGAATCAGCACACTCCAGCAGTCTTCTCATGCTTAAAAGTGTCATCGTCGTCAAGAAAAAAGGGACCTGAGGAGCAAGTGAGGCTGAAGACGTATGTAATGGGGAGTCAGAGGATTCTGTCCAAGAGGAAGGTTTGGACGAAGGAGGAGGCAGCCAGATGGGGGGACTCTGAGGGCGACGGGCTGCAGCAACGTTTTCACAGGCCTGATTCCAGCCCCTTTTCCCCCTCCTAAGAAAGTTAAAATAAGATGAAGAGAGACTGAATAACGTCAATCATGAGGGGAGCTGCCCTTTGTTGTCTTTTCTCCCCCTTTGGAAAGTTGCTAAGGAAGCACCATTCTGAGTTCCCCTCCCAACGCTGCGGGTCAGCAGCTGCAAAGAATCACGTGGCTTCTCCCAGGGGAAGAGGACTACTCCGAGCAGGAAAAATGAATCCTGTGACCTGCCCCTGGTGGAACTGTCAAGATTGGGAGAGGGCAGATCTGTACTAGGCTCAGACACATCTGGACGCTGTCACACACTCAAGGGAATAAACCAGATGGTGCCATTTTGGGAATATTCTTTGGCCTGGAAGCAACTGTCACTCATTGGATGAAAATCCAGCATCCACAGATGTTCTTGGATTAACAATAAAATATCCCTAAAGGCCTGAGGATGGAGACTACATCCAATTCTGTCATCCGATTCTTAGTAGAAGTTAGCCTTTGCCCAGCTTCCTTTCCACGCTATTCCTCAGCTGCAGTGAAAGAAATGGGTGTTTTGTGTGAAGGATGTGGACTAGAAGGACCAGTGTTTATATCTGCTGGTGAGAATGCAGTGCCGAGATCACAGTAAGGAAGGAACCCAGGAGCTCGGCTTCAGACCCGGAGGTAAGAGAAGAAAGAAGGGATAGAAAGGAGGTGACCGAAAGGAAGTAGAGTTGTTTGTGAATGTAAAAGCTACATTCTGTAAGGAGAAAGTGTCCTTGAAGGAATTGTGGGTGATTTCCATGTTCTTGGATCAATATTATATAGCATTCACATCCACAATTCATGTTTTATTCCTTGTTTTGCTATTGTTAACTGAAATTCTTCAAATGAAGGAAATACCCTGTGCCTGACTAGACGATTTACAGAGCAGTTAAATTCCAGATAAAGTGCTTTTTGCTATGCCTAGCTCATCCATACTTGTAGCTCTGAAGCGCAGGAGAAGGTGGGTGTTTGTGAAACAAGTCCCCTTAATCACACTGCTGTCACCATTAGGAAGAAATATCTGATGATACAAAGGCATCATAATGCAAGATGATTTTTTTCTCGAATGGCCATATTCACACAAAGCCAGCAATCACGTTGACATTGATCATATTCTCTGCCTCTCAGAAGAAATTGAAAAGGTATCTTTCCAGCTCAGCTTCTCCCAACCATATACCTTTAAACTCCATGTATACCGCTCTTCCCTGCCCCCAAAAAATGCATTATTCTGATGTACTTTGAGATTCCATGAAGGAAATGTATTTTGATATTCCGCCTAATTTAGAACCCCAGCCCCGCCAGTAACCATCTGAAGGACCTTGACTGAGTTATTCTGCTTCATTAAATGGCAGTTCCTTCCACTGCAAAATAAGAATATTGATAGGAGTCATAGAACTCCTACTGCTACTAATGATGATTACATTGTTTGCTCAGTGCTCAGCTCAAAATAGATAACCAGTAACTCTAAACTTCAGTGCAAGGACAAAAGCTTTGGAGCTAAGGAATAGAACTTATTTACATGTTTTTCATAAGTGAACAATCATCACCTCTGTGTGTGTGTGTGTGTGTGTGTGTGTGTGCGTTCAGTTCTCTGAAACACACTAAGCTTTACGAGGAGAATGTGTCACATAGGCATCCATTAACCAAGCACCATTCTGTCTTTCTTGGGTTCCACTGGATATGGGCTCACTCTTCTACTAAATTCCAAAGCACCACTTTCCACAGTCGCTTGTAAGTGCACCCTGCATTTCCTCGTGACTCTGATGGCTCCAAAGCACAGAAAGGAAAACAAAGACCATAAAAATCAAAACCATAGATCCAATAAGATAAAAATGTTGCGTTTGAGCCATTAGAAAGTGTCCATTCAAACTTTTCCTTTTTCAGAGAAGAAAACAAGGCCCACAGATATAATAGGATCTCAAAACTCCCCACACAAATGGACATAAAAATGTAACTGGAAGACAGTGGAAGAGGGGACAATTTGGAAGTGAAGAAATAACAGAGAACAGTTGGCGGGCAAGTCAAGGTGTTCTTCCATGCCAATCAGGGAATGAAGAGAGACATCTGGGGTTTTTGTCATTCGCAAAGTACCTTTAGTAGGAAGTACTACAAGTCTGGGGAGTGGAAAATAAGAAAGTCTGAACTAGGAAATCTTATAATGCACTAATACTGTAGCTACCAAGTATCTGGTAGCTTTTTGGCAATGTTTGTTGGTTGGTTAGTTGATTGCTTGGTTGGTTGGTTGGTTTGGATATTGAGTAATTGGATAAGACAGTAATCCCACTTTAAGGCCCATGGTTTTGTTATTCTGCAACTATGAATTCCAATGGTCACTGTGCACAGTGTTAAGAGACCCCGGCTCTAACTCCTGCTGTCCAAGTCAATGATGAGTTTTGAATACACAGGGAGGATGAGGAAAAACATTAAAGACACAGTGGCCCAACTTGAAAGGACAAAAAAAAATGACCAATAATACAAAAAAGTTTGTAGTGACAGTAAAAACAAAATACTATATTAACAGGAAGCAGTAATATTATAACCCAGGCTAGGCCAGGGATCAGGAAAGACTCTGACTGCCAAGCAACTGAAGACCATTTGGGAGTGGTTGGGAGGTTGAGAAGGGAAGCATGCTGTAATATTAAAATGCAGCAACAAGAAAAAGTGGCTGTGAGTCACATGCCACAGCCTGCTTTGATGGTTCATCTTAATTGTCAACTTGGATAAGAGTTGTCCAAAGAAGTGGTTAGATTCTGAGAGTGCTAACCTCAGCAGTGCACTAACTCATTCACAAACTCACAACTGAATGGGCTACTAGAAGGTGGGGCCTTTTGACAAGAAGTGGGTCATAGGGACAAAACCTTTAGAACTACATCTGGCCCTTGCCCCCTTTCTATCTGGCTCTTTCTCGATTCTCTGTTTCCTGACTGCCATGAGGTAAGCAGCTTTCCTGGCCTGTCACCATGATATTTCTGCCTTCCAGCCCAAAGACTACAGACTGAAATTTCTAAAACCATGAGCCTTTAGGTGGTATGTGTCAGATATTTTGCCCCACTGACAGAAATCTGGTACATTGGTAAAGCCAGTATGTTTTAAACTTGAAGATCTCACTGAAATGCACAACTCCAACATTTAGGAGGAAAGGAATTCATGAACATTTAAGCTCTGTCTGTGTACAGCTCTGCATCAGAATATAAACTGTATTTTCAAGCAACCTCACTTTAATATGGATTGTTTGCCTTGATTCCAACTTATTTTAAAATTCAGGGAAAATAGCGTGTCCGTCTAAACTCAATCAAAATTTCACATTTAATTTTTAAGACTTCACAGAAACCTTCTAGGGATGGCTCTCACTGAGCGAGCCAACTGAACCCTATCACTGGGCCTGCTGCCATAATAATGGCTTTGCGTGGACCAAGTAAGAATGGTCTTTGAGGATGCTACAAAGAGGTTGCCGGCAAGTGTGAGAAATTCAAATGTGTCTGGAATCATTTGTAACTTTTTAAAGACATTTTTAAAAATGCTTGTTGGCTTATTTGCCTAGCCAGTTGGCCTACTGACTTGCAAATAATATGTATAACTTTGTGTGTTTTCTTTCAGGGTCTTTGTTCCCTGATTTCAAACCCTCGGAAACCGTTTTTAAAATAGTGTTTTGGCTCGGATACCTGAACAGCTGCATCAATCCCATCATATACCCATGCTCCAGTCAAGAGTTCAAAAAGGCCTTTCAGAATGTCTTGAGAATCCAGTGTCTCCGCAGAAAGCATTCGTCCAAGCACACCCTGGGCTACACCCTGCACGCCCCCAGCCAAGCCCTGGAGGGGCAGCACAAGGACATGGTGCGCATCCCCGTGGGATCCGGAGAGACCTTCTATAAGATCTCCAAGACCGATGGGGTGTGTGAATGGAAATTTTTCTCTTCCATGCCTCACGGATCTGCCAGGATTACAGTGCCCAAGGACCAATCTACCTGCACCACTGCCCGGGTGAGGAGTAAAAGCTTTTTACAGGTCTGCTGCTGTGTGGGGCCCTCAACCCCCAGCCTTGGAGAAAACCACCAAGTTCCAACCATTAAGATCCACACCATCTCCCTCAGTGAAAATGGGGAGGAAGTCTAGTGGGTAGGGAAGGTCACAAGGAAAGGGGTGATCCTAGGTGCCCTCCCACTTTCTACTCAAAAGACAGCTCACCCTTCTTGGAGGAAAACACAGGACCATTCAACAAGGGCACCATCTGGGCATGGGACAGGCAGGAGACCCAACTCATCGGGCAACAAGTGAGGAACAAGAAAGAGGCTTGATGTCTCCCCACAGGTTTAGAATGGGTCTACACAACACCCCACTGCACCTGATTCTAGTTCGTTTTCTAAGTCTGCTTTCCACAACAGGCCCTTTCGATGAAAACTACCATGGGAAACAGAATTTCATACACAATCCGAAAGACTATAAATATAGGGTTATGATTTCATCATGAATATTTTGAGCACACACTCTAAGTTTGGAGCTATTTCTTGATGAAGTGAGGGGACTTTATTTTCAGGCTATCCCTCTAATGGAGAACTGTGAGATGGCAGCCACTGCCCAGGCACATTACTTGTAGAAAGAGTTTTAAAACACCACCACTTCTGATGAATCCAGCATCCCAGCTTGGGTGAATTAGACAGTAGGATTTCCCTTTGCCTGCACTCTGACCGGACACTGTGCTTTATCCTCTAAAGATGAGAGTGAGAGACCCTCACGCTGCAGAATGTGAAGACACGCCCCCCCCAGGTCTGAAACATGGTGAACCAATCGGGGAGAGCATTTTTTCCCAAAAGAGTACAAGAGACATGAGGCTCATCTTTGCGAATTCACTGGTAGGGTCAAAAATTCTTTCAGCTGTTCCAAGGTCAGATGCGGAAAGGCTTCTCCTGTATCCCATTTAAAGATCAACAGGTTGCGGGGGGGTGCTGATTTCATGCTAAGCTAGCTGCTGTCAAGTTACTCCACGGCCTTTCTGATGTGGCCTAGAAAAGCTCTTCTTGACAAATTACTTGCCTTTCCCAGACCTCCATTATGAAAACCCAGAGCTTACATTTGAAGAGGTAAAATATTGACTTTCATTTCTTATCACCTACTTCAATCCTGCATCGTGAATGAGGTTCACCCACAGCATGCTGGAATGAGCCTTAAGACCCAGATACATCCTTCCTACACTTTGAAAGATACCCATGCTTAGCCTTGAACAGATACTTACTGGTCACCAAAGAACGGCCCAGAGCAGGGGTTTGCAAACATTTTGCGGGGGCAGAAACACATTTATCCCAGCAGAAGATCCCATAGCCCACTCAAATTCATCATACTGCTTTCTGTAGGAAATTGGGACATATTTCTTGCTTCATTGGCTTCCAAATTTTGATATACCTTAGTAACTCACATTATTGCTAATAATGATGAAAACTATATTTAAAAATGAAAATATGCCTGTTATCCTACAATGGGGATTTAAAATACAATTAAAATTCCTGACAAAAGCCACTGATCTAAAACTACTGGCCCTTCCCTATTTGTGTAATTTGCTCCAGGAATTTCAAAGCAAGTTGGAGATGTTTTGTAACCTTGTCAGCAAAAGCATGGTCCAATCATCTCTCTTTGCATCAAAATAATTCTTCTCTTAATCCTTGCTGAAAATAAATCTTGTTCGACATTGCAGTGGAGGGTATGTTTGCATGTGGATGTGGATTTTGTAAGGGCTTTGGATGTGACTGTTTTCTCAGCTTTCTGGGCAGTGTCTTATTGACAAGATAAATAGATACTTGACCTTACTGTAAGAACAGGGATTCTAGCACAAAGAAGTTGGCTGGGTTTTTAGAGTCTACTAGTCCTGTGCTAGCCCAAGCAGATGTGGGGGTCCTACTTTAAGGCAGGCGTCCAGGGAGAACTTGAACACAGAAGGCTCCCAATCTTCTGCCTTGGTAGGAAAGAAGCTTCGTCTCTGAAAAGAGCTTCTTTCAGATTCTGAATTTAAAACTCACTCTTGGCCTTGGCTTCCCCTTATAGAAATAGCATCCTCGTGGAAAGAATGGTCATAATTTATCTTCCTCGAAATGCGATCCCTGTTAGGCATGACTACTAAACTCCTCAATGGATAAATTTACATTGCAGATACTGGAAAGCTTATGAGGGCCGGAAAGTTAGCATTAATGCCACTCCTAATCAAAACCAGCAGCTAGAAAAGCTTTTGGACATCAGATAACAGCCGTGACAACTGTGTCCATGTAAAGCTCTCCATATATAACTGTCTGCTACACTCTTCTCCAGTACCTTTCCCTCTAGGGAGGAAAACTCTGAACCTTTTTTCCCTTTCCCATAGCATGATGTGGGGCGCAAATATAACATTCCGATGTTACACAGAATTCGGTGATAAAGCGAGAGAAACAATTCACAAGTTGAGTTGCTTTTCACTCATCCACAAAACTATCTGTACCTGTAAGCATGCCAAAAACTATCTAAAATTGTTACAGCTAAACAAATGATTATCATATTTATACTCCCATGTTTACTGCTTCTATTTGGAGCTGGAGGAATTTACCCGGAGTAACAGTGGTTTAAATGTCTTCTCAAATGTGTTATAAAAAGCTGTTGCCTTGGGATTGCCTGAACTTCACAAAGTTAGTGACATTATGGGATAGGCAAAACTCGAGTTTATTCTGCAATGATTATGTGCACTAGGAGGGGCCTTAAATCTCTTTATTCATAAATTTTCCCAGACTAGAAACCAAGGATTTTAGAAAAGCTTTTCAATCATCACAGTTTTCTCCTTTTTCCTTTTTCATGTCTCATCCAGTTCCATCTTTGCGTAACTGCCTAGCATATCCCACGTTTTCCAAAATGTGAAGTCTCCTCTCTCACCACCTGCCTAGATTGTTCCATCTCGCTCACAAATGAGAGCTGCACCTCCAAGCATCTTGGCTTCTCCCAACCCCTGAAATGTGAACCATCACCTGGACCTGCTGGGCCAGTAGGTTTCCGAGTTTCAGCACTGTAGGAACCATTTGCTTGGGCAGCTAACTGTTCACCTCTTTCATCACACAGCTACTTAATCAGTTTGCCAAACATTCTCCTTTGCTTCTGGAAAAAGTTCTTCTCAGGTCCTCTTGCCCCCCAAAAAAATCTTCGTTCTGCACACAAATAGTTATCCACTCAGTGAAGGAAAGAGTTCTGCTCCCCAGCACAGAGAGAAAGCAAAGAGGTGGAAGCTGGGCAAGCGGAAAGCCAGTTCTCCCTGCAAAAGCCAAGGTGACAAAAGAGAAGCCATGGGTGGCCAATATGGAGCCATCAGAGGTTACTCACTCTTCACTCTGATCTCTTTACATGACTAGTATTCGTAACCACGAAACCACCTGTACACAGCTCCAGTCAAGCCCCCTGGGAGCACCGTTTGCTCCTGCTGTGTCTGTCAGCTCTGCTATGGAACAGGGCCGAGTCCCCCATCTTCCAAAAGCAATGGCAGCAGTGGCCGCTGGCCCTCCACAGTCCCACGGGATGCGTGAGTGGAGATGGTGGTTTGGGGCTGGGCCGGGACAGCAGGTTAGGGTCTCAGCAGAGGACACTGACCCCTTGCCGGTGTGGCCATCGGCATGGTCTCCTTCAAGCTCTTCAGACCCAAAGGTCACGTAGGTGGGCCACGAATGCACCTCATCTGCTCCATGCAGGAAAACTCATTTCTTCTTGGCCACTGTAACACAGATTATGGGTTTTCCCACAGAGAAGGAGGAGGAAGTGGGAGTGATCAGGACCATCGAGGAGAGGGAGACTTAGCATAGACAGGACCAAAGCAGGGTGCTGCTCTAATGCTTTGCTGCAACTGATAAGCAAAGCAACCAGCCAGAAGCTGGTGATTTATTCATTTCAAAAGAGAAAATAATTACCTTACCTCGTCACAAGGCTGGGGAGCTATTACATTACTCTCTTTCTGTATCCATATAGGCACATTTTAAGCTGGAAATGATTATTGCTAAATGATGAAACATACAGACTCAATTAGGATTTTAAAAAACCTGAGAGAAAGTGAACACTGTGTTTAGAGAAAAATATGCTGTAGATGCTGGCACTTTAAATAGCCTGAATACAGTAAGTGCATTTGAATGTGAAGAGAAGAAATAGAAGAGCCGGCAAGAGCTCTCTACATATCCGTATGGGACACTTCACAGAAGTCAGAGTAATCTCACCCGACTTGGGTCATTCCCCTGTGTCTGATAGGAAGAGAAGATGGGGCTTATGGTCCGTACTTGACATAGGAAGAAGTGAGGAAACTCTTCAAAGTTTTCCATGAGCCCCTCACCCAGCCTCTGACTCTTGCTCTTTGTGATCTCTATGTCCCCGAGGCCCGTTTTCCAGTTGCACTCTCATCTCTCCCTTTATCTCCCCCCTGCTTTCTGGCACCCTCTCTCCCGCCCTCTCTGCCAGCCACCGCGCAGCACAGGACTGTTCTCGGGGCCACTGCAGATCCACCCGTGACCAACAGACAGTCACCAAACTCTGCTCTTCCTCCCTAAATAGGCAGCCACAGAGCCACAAAGCTGAGGACAAAGGCAGAGTGGGAGGCTCTCAGTTAGTTCAAAGAGGTGAAATGCAAGGCAAAGCCCAAGAGTGAGTCTCCTTAAGGTCCTCAGAGGTCCCCAAGGGAGTCGCAGGTATTGACCTTCGCTCGGGGAGCCCGTGACTCCTCCTGCACACGCTGTCGGCAGCAAACTACCTCTCCTCATGGAGCACTGCCCTTGGCACAAAACCTGCAGCGAGGCACAGACAGTCCTCAGCTCAAGAGCTGGCCAGGGCCCACGGCCATCTGTGTAGAAGTCAAGAATGTGTCTTTCCGAGAGGCATTGTTTTGAGCCAGGGAGGGGAAGGATGTTCCCAGATGAACCAAAAAAACAAAAAATAAAATTCTATTTCATGTACACCAAGAGTTGCCAAACTTTCTCTATAAATGGCTAGAGAGTAAAATATTTTAGGCGTTGTGAGCTATATGGTGTCTATCACGCATTCGTCTTAGTTTTGACTTTTTCAGGGAGAGTAGACTAGAACAATTCTTAACTAAACATAGAACTGTTGGTACCTTTAAAAAAAATAATGTGGTCAAATTTAGCCCCTGGACCACAACTTGCCATGCGTAGCATGTGACATCACCTGCCTCAGTATAGTGTGGGTGATGCTAAAAAGTGGCTTTTGGTTTTCGACATACAACCGTCTTCTTTTCGTTTTTTTGTTTTTCGAGACAGGGTCTCACTATGTAGTTGAGACTGACCTGGAACTCACTACGTAGCCCAGGCTGGTCTCGAAATCACAGCGATCCTCCTGCCTCAGCCTCCTGAGTGCTGGGATTACACCACTATGCCCAGCTACAACCGTCTCCTTTTAAACATATCGCTGACTTAACTTGACTGGGCTGAACCTACAGGAGCTGCTAGACAAAGTGACGTCATTAACTGGGACTTTCCAAGCCATGTCAGGCCTGGGGGTGAGCACCCCCCAAACCACCCCCACATTCTGTGGATCAGGCAGTCAGCAGATGCCCAGGTGAGGCCATGGATCCCAGCTCATCACCTTCCCAGCAGAGGCCCCCATGCCCAACTCTGAGCTACATCATGTGATCAAGCCTTCCAGAGCCTTGGAAGCTGCTGAAGTAGAGGTCCCCAAAGGCTTTTTGAGGTCACACTCGTCCCCTTGAAAAGGACTTCTAACCACAGTGCCCTGTACCAGGACGTCTGAGAGCTGCTTGGAGCCCATGAAGCATTCATAGGGTACAAAGAGAGGGTATCTCCCAAGGACAGACGGGAGGGTTTCATTCCTCCTCTTCTTCCTACTCTGTGTCTTCCTTCCATTTTCCTCTTTCAGCAAGTCTACAATCACCCAACTGGACTAGATGTGCTCATGGTAATGCCGTGGGACTCACATTCAGCCATCCTGGGAATGCCGAAGCACATTTACCTGAGCTGGTGCTTGGCAGAGGGCTCTTCCCCTGCCTCACTCCACCCTAGTGGGCAGTGAGGAAGAAGAAAACACCCCTGGTTGGAAGTAAAGTTCAGTTCCCATGGCCTAGGGCAGGGGCCCGGAGTGTTGAGTGAAGGGACCCTGGCCAGGCTCTGAGTGGGGCATGGAATGTAATGGATGCAGAACCCACCTGGAAGGAACTGGAAATACCAGTGCCACTTAGTAGCAACACTACTTTCTCCTTTGAGCACATAAGGAGGGCTTGAGCAGGCTCCGTGTGGCAGTCCACTTCCAGCTGCACCAAAAGTAGGACATACCCAGCAAGGCTCGGTAACAGTGGACAGCCCTGGGGTCTCTAAACAGTTATGGTGAGCACAGAGCTCGGCAGTATGGCTTTCCAGGCTACTCCAACAGCTCGGCAGCTGAGGGCAGTGGTTCCTGTGCAAAAGATGCTACCGCTATGGTCTCCTGTCCCTGTGTTCCCATCCCCACGGGCTCTCAGAATGATCCCACATATCAGCCACAGTGGAACATCCTGCATCTGATCCCCTGGTGTCCGACCCAGAAATGACAGAAAGTCACACAGAAAGGCAGGACCTACACAATCAAGGCATCCAGCCCAGACCCAGGGCTTACGATTGATTCGTCCACTAAAAGTCTTTCTTCCCGCCTGACCTGCATTCCTTCCTTAACCCCAGCCTTATCTCTCATTATGAAATGTGTTCAGCTAACTAATTGAGATCACGGAGGCTGGAAAGCCTGGGCCCCACTCATCAAATGCTGTGCATCGGGATGAGCACTCCTTGTTCCCCAGCCTCTCCATTCTTCTGGTCCCTGCATCACCCCAGAGGTGACAGGCATTGTAAAGAGCAGAGAAGGACGAGGCACTGATGGATAGTAGGTGAGGGAATAGCTTTAATCTACAAATAAGGTTGCCCAAATTCAATGTGACAAGTAGGGAGGCTTTTAAATACTATGCTACAAAGCAATTTTAAGAGCAAAGCATGGACGTATTACAAATATTTAAGGAACAATTTATTGCCAGTCATCTACAGACTTTTAAGAGTAAAGCACTTAGTGGGCAGTGACTGAGTTAATAAGTGAGGTCCCTGGCTTGCTCCCAGCTTGCTTTCTAGAGGCTGGGCTGAGCCGTAACCCCTCCTTCTACACATTCCATGCAACCTTGGTACCTACGCTTGGAGCGAGAGCTGATGCCCCGCTTTGGCCCCAAAAGCCTGAACCAAAGCACAAGCTTTCTTCATCAGATGTGAAGGAAAATAACTGTTTTCGTCTCTGGGCATAATGAGTTACAAGCAGTCTACTTTGCAGTATTTCCCCGCAAACCTAACCCAGTACTGCAGACCACCAATTCTCTTGCTCCTTACCATGCAACCATGATGGATGGTGCAGGAGCAGGGTTTACATCGTAAAACCTGTACTTCTGGAGCATCTGCTGCAAACCAAACCCTTTGCACATTTTGAGATGTTAAGGTGCGAGATTCTAGTCACGTTACCCAAGAAGTGTGTGTGTGTGTGTGTGTGTGTGTGTGTGTGTTCATGTAACTGACATTATGAGAAAAAACTTTGTGGAAGAAGGGACCAGATCTCACACAGAGATTGCATTTAAAACCATCTGAGGAGGGCCAGGGATTTAGCTCAGTAGTTCCGCTCCCTACTTCACAAGCACAAGGTCCCAAGTTCAATCCCCAGTACCAAAAAATAAAAATAAAAACATATGAGGAAGTGGGATGAGCACTGCTTGGGAACTGCCAGAAGCAAATGCTTACAAAACCAAACGGCAAATCCCATCTTGACAGAGGCAATTTTTATTTCAGCTGGAATTGAGTCTGGACCCTGGAAGTCCCAGGGCACAAGCTCAGTTCTAATTCCCGACAGATGCATACATTTCTTTTTTTATTATTATTATTTCCGAGGGGCCTGGCAAGGGCCTCCCTGAGCCTCCTGAGCAGGAGGTGTCCTGAAGGAAAAGTCTACACGACTCAGCCCAGCTCGAAGGCTGCTGCCGGCCCCTCCCAAATGGTCTCCCATGAATTGGAATCTCAAACTTGCTCTAAACAGAGGGAAAAAATCACTTTTGAGGATGAGGTTCTTGGCATGACCCTGTTTTGGATAAACAAAGTCCGTGGCTATTTTGGTCTTCAGGATTTTAAGAAGCAGCTGCTAAGTTATGGCAAGAGCGAAGGTACCAGTGTTGGCCTAAATGTCAAGGAAGAATGTCCACTTCTCTTGGTGCTGGGGAGGTGACCTGGGGCTGCAGTCCAAATTTGGAAGTATGTACATGTTGGATTTGGGGTAAGAATTCTTTGCAGTATAACAAAATTATTGCTACATGGATGCATGATGCCTAATATATTAAAAGTACAGTGTAATTCATTAAGGTCAGTATGCCTTACTGTTTTATTTTTTGAGACAGAGTCTCACTATGCAGTCCAGGCTGGCCTTGAACTCAAGATCTTCCTGCCTCGGCCTTCCAAGTGTTGGGATTACAGGCGTGCACCAGCGTGCCCAGCAATCTATGTTGCTTTATAGTAGGATATACACAGATTCCACGAAGCAGCTCCCCATCCATGGTTGCTGGCCTATCTGCCCTCTGGAGTGGGTATGGCCCAGCCACCTCTAGACTGTCACCGTGTCCTTTTCAGTCCCCTCAGGAACCGCTAAGTCATGCCTGGCACAGGAATCCTTCTTTATCAAGCATCCGTCTGACCGCAGCTGGAAAGTCCGCTTAGTACAACTTTCCCTGAAAAGTTAAAGTCCCCCAGATTCTAGCACATCCATAGAAGTAGAGGAAGCCACGCTGCGCACGCACCTTCCTCCAAGGAAGTTGTCCCGGCACCCACTGCTCTGAGTTCTTTAGCCGGGGTGAAGTATTCACCAGGGAGAAGACAGTAACAGGGCTGCAAACGAAGTCCTTGCCCCAAAAGCTGCTGTGGACCTGGAGAGCACCAGGGGGCCAGCCAGTGCAGCAAGGGTGGTGAGCACTAGGACTTCCGTATTCGTGCAATACCTGGGATGAGGAGGAAAGCACCCTCCCGGGACCCTGGAGGACAAAAGAGTGGGGAACAGAGGGAGTTGTTCCTGGCGAGGAAGGGACTCTGCTGTGCTAGAACCCAGGGTCGGCAAATCTCACCCATGTGCTAGGTTTGCCCCCTCCAGTCCGCCAGGCACCGGGTAACTGGCCTGGTAGCGATTTGGCACTGCGAAACCCTCCCCGCAAGACCCTCACACTCGCTTTTCTTCTTGGTCTTTTCTTAAGCAGAGGAAAAGCCTGTGCTGAGTGCAGGGACATTCCTGACAGAGCCACTCTGCTTGGCTTGTATGAAAACTCAAAAGCCTTCCTCTTCTAGTGACCTGATTATTCTCTATACTGAAGGCTGAGCACAGCATGACAGTGGGATGCTGGACAGAAAAGGAAAAAAGGGGAAAGGAAGGGAGGGAGGGAGGAGCCGAGGTGGGGAGATAAAGAGGAAGGAAGAAGGAAGGCAGATCGATTCTGTTTCTTTCTCATCAAACATGAGGTAACAAATTCATAAGAATAACCAAATGCGTTGGATGTCCTAGCAAGAAAATTATATACAATGCAATGCCGAGTTATTAAAAGTTAGTGTTTGTAGCAAGAAAACATAGTGCAATATATTTTAAAAGAAAGAGTTTTGTCCTACAAAAAATGCATAAAATCACTGCATTACTACGCTGCTCCTGTGAGTGGCTTCCGTGCCATTATGGAAGGGCTGGGGGCTCAGGCCTAGGCAGGGTTCAGCCAAGGGAGTCTAATGCTTTATTTTAAAGCAAATACAGCAGGGAGAGGGCAAACAGCAGCCAAAGCAAAAGACTTGGAGCTGCACTTTTACAATCAACTGGCACTTAGGCAGGACTCGACTGGCCAGGCCCAAGGAAGACAGATTGGAGATCACTTTCCCTGTAAAATTAAACTGTACTCTAGTAAATAAAGCTGGTTCCATTTAAACATGAACTCTGTGACTTTTCCTGGCTTGCTGTAGATTTTCTGCTTGGATTCTCCTTAGAACTGCTCAAAATACACATTTCTGCATTGCCAGCAAAACAACTATGGGCTTCCTGGCTGATTTTAGCTGCTACGGTTTTCCTACAGCCTTTAAGTTTCATGATAAGTGTGGTCCCCATGAGGAGCCCTTTCTGGCTGTGTGGTGTGCGAGCCACGCCCACCTGTCCAGGTTCGGTGTTGGTCAGATGAGTCGATGATCTCACCACCTCTTCTTCTGTGTTAAAGAAAACCCGGACTTATGCTGAGAGCTTAGCATCTGCTCTGGGCTACACAAGGGAGACGCCACTCCTGC